TAAAAAGTATTTGAAAATGACTATGTTTAGAAGTTGAATAATACATTTTTATGATTTATGTCTCAATTGTTTCTGTTTGTGTTTGCACGTTTATAGCGTTTGCATCAACTAGGAGCTAGAAAGCTCGTGGTGGTCGGAGTAGGGCCACTTGGTTGCATACCGTTTGCTCGTGCCTTGGATCTAATACCAGCCGGTAAATGCTCCGACCAAGTCAACCAAATCGTCCGAGGTTATAACACAAAGCTCAGACACTCTCTTAGGTCACTGAACAGTGAGTTAAGATCCAAAGATCACAACACTACATTTGTTTACGCCAACTCTTACGACCTATTCTTGAAACTGGTTTTGAACTATCCTCAATTTGGTAAGGTTTTAGTGTTTTGAGTCATCTGATCGCTGATTTTATTGATTAGAAGAATCTAATGAAACGTTTCGGTTTTGGAACTTGGAAGGGTTGGAGAATGCAGACAAGCCGTGTTGTGGCGGCTACTTTCCACCGTTTACTTGCTTCAAGGGTCCAAACCAGAACTCAAGCCAAGCGGCTTGTGAGGATCGGTCCAAGTTTGTCTTCTGGGACGCGTATCACCCAACTGAAGCTGCCAATCTCATTGTTGCTAAAGCACTTCTTGATGGTGACCAAACTGTGGCTACACCTTTCAACATTCGTTACCTTAACGATCTTTGATCAATAACATAATCCTTGGTGTGATATTACATAACCATAAAAATATATATTCAATCACTCGCTAATAGACATAGCAACAAGATATAGACTACTATGATGATAGATTATAAAGCGTAGCGAAGATCGTACATTACAAACTGAACCAAACTGAATAACCGGACTTTAAACCGAGTTAAACCCATAACCTTAGTCACCAGCTGAATGAATCCTTAGACTTCTCAATCTTGGTTTTGTAGGAACTTTCTATATCTTCCTGCAGACATTTCATTAACATATCATCAATCTTGCATCAGAGCGCTTTTACATATTTTTCGATATGATCATACATCGATTCAAAAACCTTTAGATAAAAAAAAAAAAAAAATAGAGCAATGAGATGTTTTCACCTTGCAGGATTTTAGCAATGGTTCTAGGAAAGAGGATCTGAAGAACTTGATTGATTTCCCAAGTAAAGTTTTATCTAGATCTGCAGGTTTAAAGTAACTGAAATTATTATTTTTACGCCTAATCCGAAACATTTCAACATTGATTGTATTCAAGAACATACCATCACCATCATCCACTTCCATTCGGACGCCTCCTGAGTTGATTTCTTCTATTAGCTGAAAATTGTTACAATATATAAGCTTAAGAAACAATATCTTTGTGACGAATTAATAAAGATCCACACTCCAATGTATCACATTGTTTATTATTTTACCTGTGAAAGTGTTGGAACGGCCAATGGATCAAACTCATCACAGTTATTCGGGTCGATAGGAACACAAACACGACCTGAAAACCATAAGAATTTAAGCTCACATACATAAATGGACTCAAGTATGAACATGATTCTTATCAACTGGTGTGAAACATTCAGGAATCAACGAAAAGGACCTGTTTTTGGATGGACACAGAAGGGTGCCTTGAGCAAATGGTTCATTTGTTTTGAGACCTGTAATTAAAAGAAGGAACCATACAATTGAACAGTCACTAAACTTATCAGGTTTCCAACTCGTCAGTTGCTATAAGTTCTTATATGGCGAAGAAATATCTTTGTAATATGTTTACTAAAACCGCAAGATAGATTAAAACAAACCTCCAAATCAATTCGAGGGTACGTAAAGGTGAAGACAATTTCTTCTACGCACATCCGCAATGCTGGAGCCTGAAACATTGGATACAAGATTGAAGATGATGTGGGATTCAAGTTTATCAAGCTAAAAGCTGAGTGAAAGAAAAACAAGCTTTCCACAACACTTAAATACATTACACACCTTCTGTTTCTTCGATTGGAGCGTGTTTTTAAGCTGCTCCCACCTTTTAAGGCTAGTGGCTTCTTCTGAAAGAGAAGGTTTTGCAGAATTCTCCCACTTTTCTCTGAGCTCTGATTGAATATCTGTTATGAAGATGCAGATCATTATAAGTGACCAAACTGAGGTTAGGACCTCGCGTAAAAATACATAATGGCATATACATACCTTCATCTGAAATCATGTCAAGTATCTTCTCATACTTTTCTTTGCTTGAGAAAATACTTTGAGTTGCTTGCAACTCACCCTCAAAGAAATCCTTGAGAAAATCCACGTACGATCTCCTGAAAAATTCAGATGACATTAGTAGCAGAGATGGTGATTCTGAAATCTGAAAGGTAAAAGTGATGGAGAAACCCGTACGCAAGAAATGGATGAAGAGAAAAACCCATAAGAGCGACTTTTCTTGCATTGTTTTCATTTCCCTGTGTCACATAAAGAATAATTCAACTTGAGAGAATTTCCTAGTGCAGGAAACCAACAAAATAAATCACAATTTAGGTCTTGAGAACAGCACCTTATAAACGCGGAAGTATTCAGCAACTGCTGATCTTTGTTCATTAGTCAAGCTGCAGGATTTTATCACACATAGTTTTCATTTCATAATACAGAAAGTGATTCATCCACCAAGCGAAATGAGAAACAGTGTTCATTGATTGTCTTACCTTCGAGCTTTAGCATCACAAACCCAACAGTGAACTCCACGACGCCCGCTGAAGACCCAGAGAATGTGTTTGAAACCAAAATCCTCTGCAATTGGCGAGACCAAAATGAGTTTCTACATGAACACTAGCAACTCTTATTGTATCTTTGTGGTACCTCTTAAGGAAGTATCAATGACTTTGATAGCAACCGTCATTAAAGGCCAACACTTGGAGCAAACATCGGCTCCCGAGCAACAATATCTAACGTCGTCATAATCTGATATATCCTGAGAAAACAGTTCAATTCAAGCACATAGATAAGACTTACAAGCATCGAAACAAAAATTCCAAGAACATTCTCGATAAGATAATTAAACTCACGATATCAAAGACCAACTCCCTCTCCACTGGAGCAAACACATTGGTACCACTTTGTGCATAGGCATGTCTCTTATCTGGCTGTTGTAAGAAAAAAAAAGCAATTTATAAAACTCAAATGAGTCGGGAAATACGACAAATACATCGATCTGAGGACTCAGAAAACAGATTTTCTCCGGCTTACATCTACGCTATACACAGCACCAATATCAATCTTGTACGGAGATTTCTCTTTGATATCGTTTTCCATTGCAGAAGCATTCTTGAAAGACCTATAGCGTAAATAAGCATCGTTTTCGAGGGTAAAAGAGAATTCTCTTCGACCAAAGTAGAATTCATCGCAACCAGGATGTTTCCCATCTACAGATTACAACACACAAAGAAAGAGACCAAAGATTCAATGTCGTTGATAATAATTCCATTGGATGAAACAAAACAAATAAAGACACTAAGTACCGTTCCCGTAAGAAAGCCATTTGTGAATATCAGTGTAAGGAAAATGTTTTCCTGCAAGCATATTAATTATTACTTGAGCCAAGACATAGTAAAGCTCGAAGGAAAGAAAGAAGCTTTCTTAAATTATAAACTTGCCGTAGTAAATTTTGAGGTAATGAAGATTGAATTCGTCGGGATTTTCGATTTTAGGTTTTGGGTTTGTGATTTCTTCGATCATCATCGTAACGTCGGATTGAATGAATTAAAAGGCTTGATTGGAGAAAAAAAGAGAAACAGAAAGCTTACAACTTTCGTTGAGGCTAAAGACGAGCTTAATTTGGCGGGAAAGGAGAAAGCAATTAAGGTAAATTTGGCGGGAAAAAATCAAAGAAAGAAGGAGACATGTGAAATGATGGGCCAAGCCGTTATTACGGGTTTGCTTTTATAGGCCCATTAGATTATTATTATAATTAGCTTTCGAAACTATTTAAGTAGCGAAGGAAGGTCAAAAACGTAATTTACTTGTCCCCTCTGTATTTTTTTGGCTTTCTTTCCTTGGCATTACTGTTTTGTTTTACTTCTCTTCTCTCTCACAGATTCATTTCCTCCGTTATAGTTCTCTTTTGCTAGATCCACTGTTATCTAATTTCTCCGACGACGACGGAGAAATCTTCTCTGCGGTTTTCTCTTTCTCCTCTTTACTCTTTTCTTCACTGTCTCGTAGCCATGAGAATTTCTCCACCTCCGATCTCTGTTTTCCTACTCTTCTTCTTGCTCTCAATTGTTTTTCCCCACAATCTCTCGCTCGGAGATCCGATCGTTACGTGTTCCGGGATAGTTCCGATGAAACACCGGAGCGCGATGTTATCAATTTCGGATTTCGGAGCTGTCGGTGACGGCAAGACCTTGAACACCAATGCGTTTAACTCAGCGATTGATCGGATACGGGAGACTAACACTAGCGATGGTACTCTTCTGTACGTTCCTCGTGGTGTGTATTTGACTCAGAGCTTCAACCTTACGAGCCACATGACTCTATATCTCGCCCATGGTGCGGTTATCAAAGCCGTTGAGGTGATGATGGTTTGAATTAACCTATGAGAGATACTTGATTCAGTGATTATTGTTGTTCAGTTCGATGATTGCGTTAGCCATTGTTTGTTTCTTCTCTGACTCTATGATGATTTTCATGTTTGGTTTTTGAATAGTGAAACTGTGAATGATTGCATTTGTGGGAATTGGGTATAAATGTATCATAGTAGAATGCATTATACCAAATGATTAAGGTTTGAATAGTTTGTACTGTTTCATATCAAAGATTGAGTGAGGCTTTTAGCTTTTCAATGTTTGATTTTGACATCTCCACCTTCAAAATTTTGTACATTAAGATTTGTGAATTATGTTTTGTATGTATTATATCATAGAATGCCTTATGCCAAAAGCCAAATGCTTGTTTGATTATTCAGGATACGAAGAAATGGCCTCTGATCGATCCTTTGGCGTCTTATGGCAGAGGACGCGAGCGCCCTGGACAAAGGTATATTAGCTTTATTCATGGAGATGGACTCGTTGACGTTGTTATTACAGGTGAGGTTTGTTCGGAGATTACTTTGTTTTTGCTGCAATCAGATTGTCTTGTTGCTGATAATGAGAACCCATTTGTGTTGTTAATACGTTTCCTAGGCAAAAATGGAACGATTGATGGACAAGGAGAACCTTGGTGGAAAATGTGGAGAGATGGAACTCTAAAGTTTACCAGACCGAATCTCATCGAGTTCAAGAACTCAAGTAACATCGTCGTTTCTCATGTTGTTCTTCAGAACTCCCCGTTCTGGACACTTCATCCCGTTTACTGCAGGTTAACAATCTCTCACTTTCTATGCATCTCATGAACAAAAATATGCACTTGGTAATTAGTAATTACCATCTCTTTTCTTACAGTGGTGTTGTAGTTCATCACGTTACCATCCTCGCTCCAACTGATTCTCCAAACACCGATGGAATCGATCCAGGTTTCATCAATTTCCCTTACACTTAGACCTGATTGTTTGTTTGCGTCTACATTTTTAAGTTAGAATGTTCTTTTCATCTTAACATGGAAACTTAAAAGAAAAAGTGAACGCAAAGAAAGAATCCGGATATTAATTACGTCTGTTATGTATCAAATCATGACTGGTGTGCTTACTCATTGCCACAGATTCAAGCTCTAACGTATGTATAGAAGATTCCTACATATCCACTGGGGATGACCTTGTTGCAGTGAAGAGCGGTTGGGACGAGTATGGCATTGCCTACAACCATCCAAGCCGTGACATCACCATCCGCCGCATCACCGGTTCTTCCCCATTTGCTGGTATAGCCATTGGAAGTGAAACCTCTGGCGGAATCCAAAATGTAACTGTTGAAAACATCACTTTGTACAATTCCGGGATCGGCATCCACATCAAGACAAACATTGGACGAGGAGGAAGCATCCAGGGGATCACAATCGCAGGGGTTTACATGGAAAAAGTTCGAACCGGGATTAAGATCTCTGGCAACACTGGAGATCACCCTGATGATAAATTCAACCCATCCGCGCTTCCCATCGTAAGAGGCATAACGATCAAGAACATCTGGGGCATTAAAGTCGAGCGCGCCGGCATGGTTCAAGGATTGAAAGACTCACCATTCACCAATCTTTGCTTCTCAAATGTTACACTTACTGGAACAAAAGGTTCTCCAATATGGAAATGCTCAGATGTCGTTGGAGCCGCTGCGAAAGTCAGTCCCACGCCTTGCCCTGAGCTGACTGCAGCCGCCCATCAAGGCGGTACCTGCGAAAACCAAACCTAATACTCCAAAAGCTCAGAGACGACAACATGTAGTGTAATGTAAGTTATTGTAACCTTTGTCATCTTCATATTTTCTGATCGACTAGTATAATCAAATTATAGAATTAAGTTCTTACAAAATCATATCTACTAAATTTTTTACATAGACAATCATCATCTTCATCATTTTCACATCTAATTTGTTTACCAGTAGGGCCATAGATAAGAAGGCTTTTATTTTTGCGTATCTTAGATTCTAACACAAACCAGAGTCTTCTTCTTCAGACCAAATGGTTTAGAAACTTGCGAATCTTTCTCCTCAACGTATTCTCTCTTTTATCTTTTCCTTGTTCTTTGCGCTTGATCAATTTCACTCGAGTCACCGTAATCTTCATGGAGCCATCCTCCTCCGCCTCGACCTCACCGGAATTGTCAATTTCACGGCCAGGATGGTCTTTCGTCTCCTCCGACACGAATGGACCGACTAACATCTTGATATCCGTGACTACGACGCCGCCTGACAAAGGATCTGTTACCTTTTCTTCGCCGGAGAAGATCATGTCGTTGCCGTAAGGGATCTGGAGGCCCTCGTGACGACGGCGGTGATGGTGGCACGGACGGTGGTTGAAAAGAGCCGTCGTCAAGGGACGTCTAGGGAAATGACGATTGATCGGATGGAAATTCACGAAATTAACCGGTAGAATGACTTCATCGGGAGAAGTTGATTCGGATCCGGAAAGGGTCGGGTTTGGGGTATCTGGATCGGGTTCGGCTGCTAAAGTGGGAAGGTGATCGGCGATGATGTCATTTTCCGGCTTGGAGGAAGCGACGGAGATAGCCAACGACAACAAGAGAACGGTGATGGTAACGGTGAGCTTGGCCATTGTTGAAAATATGCAAGAGATGGGGAAATAAAAGTCTTACGAGGAAATCTGAACGCAATTCAGAGAGAGATTTATAAACGGTGTTACTATCATTAACGTTTTCTTCGGGACCCAATTTTGAGGCTAATTATTTTCTAAATTCAACCCAAAAATAAAATAAAAAATCGACAAAAATAGTTTTGTTTTTCTGTGTAAATTTCAATCTTCTATAGTGGTTAGGTGTTGCTTAGTTAAATAAAGAAAAAGATTAGTACTAGAAGAAATAATTGCGGCTGAAACCTAAAATTTCTTTGTGTAAAATGTTAACCAAAACCAAAACTTAGCGTGTCGAGTGTGGGCCTATTTTTTTCAGTAAGAGCCCAAGCTTTCGTGGATTAAACATTATTTAATGGCCCAAATTGCTTAATTTTGGCGCGAAAATTATCCATTTTCTTAGGGATTCATTTGGACTGTTGTCTTCGATTTACAGATTTCAGAAATTTCATTGATGGACGCGAAGAAAATAAGAAAGAAGAATGAGGAATCATCTTCGCCGGTAATCGTATTCGCTCTCCTTCTTCTTCCGACTGGATGATTCGGTACGAATTAATCATCACTTTAGTCAGCTTTTTAGCAACAGATTTGGTCTGATTTTTGTTGGAAAGATATGATTAAGAAGAAATTAGCAGCTGTTGAAGTTGTCACATTCGATTACCCTTGTGAGTCAATTTTGGGTTTTATCTTAGACTCTTACTATTTTGGTTATACATTTTGATTGTGAATTTTTCTGGGTAGATATTGCTGGGAAAAAAGAGAAAAGTTCCTCCTCCAAAGGCTGAAAAATTGATTGAGTTTCATGTGGATGTTGTTAAAGAAACTTGTGCTAAATCAATGGGTTCTAGGTACACTTAGTTACTATCTCTTTGTACCGTATATATGTTGTTCTGTTTTGTATCCTTCCCTGTTGAAATGTTGCGTTCTGTTTTGCAGAGTAAGTTGTATGCTAGCTGTGAATGTTTCAGCTGTAATATGTTTAGGATATCCCCTTAAGGTTATGTTTCCGCATGATGACCGGGAAAACGGTTTTTTTTTTCCTTTTTCCGTAATGTATGTATGAAACACATCGTTTGGTTAATCTTCAGGGCACGAAAGGTGCGATAAGAGATGATACCTTGTTGGAAATGGGAGCTCCTGTGATGTTTGTGCAGGTATCTTATGTATGTTTTATAGTAACATAACTCTACGTTTGTACATGATTAAGGTGATAATGTGTTTTTGTGTTAAAAGGGTAGCAAAGATCCTATGTGTCCTTTGGATAAGCTCGAAGCTGTTTGCAACAAAATGAAAGCTATTACTGAGATTCATGTGATTGATGGTGGAGATCACTCTTTCAAGATCAAGAAGAAACACCTCAAAACGAAGGAGTTTAACACAAGATGAAGTTGAAGATGTCGCTATGCAAGCAATAGCTGATTTTGTCACCAAATCTCTCGCAGAAAGATCATAAAATAGTAAGGCGTTTAAACAAGTTTTGTGATATTGGCGGGCTCATTTGTTGTTTTGTCATCATCTCTTGATAATCACATTTTTCTTGGTTTGCTCTGTACATAGCTTTTTTCCACTCCTAAAGACTTCAGAATCAATATCTCTGCTTAGTTTCAGTCTATAAGTATGCCAAAAACACG